CTGAGTAAATCGACGTATCTACCACAAATAAGTCAGCTGTAAACATAGCTGTAGGAGTTTATATATACTTTATTCAATAGATTACCACAAACATTCCACTTTATGGTTGTCTAACACGAAATTGAAATAAACCGGATAAAATCTTCACTTTTGGCGAGGCCCTGCCACAAAAGGCGAGTGGTCCAGACATTATCTAGATAATATGTCGCCGAAAAGAGCGGTCAGAAGGACGCAACAAACGATAGTCGCGGATCACGGCGTCCGATAGCCAAAATTATAATGTATTTCAAGATGATTACGAGTATTGTTATGAATTTTAGAGTTCCGTAACAACAACACTTAAATTATATGTAAGGAGACTCCAGTAGCTGAAATGAGGTGTATAATATGAAAGGACCATGCAACTTATAATGAAAACTGAAAAAATACCATTCCGCCCTACCTATTAAGTTACAGTTGGTAAATATAATGATATTAGAGACGATAAATAGAAATAGAGTACATTCAAATATTACAAGTTTTTGAGAAATAATAAAAACCTTAAATTTAATAAAAACCATTCACAAACATTTATACCCTCCAATTTTGAACTACAGTTATGTCCTAAGCTAAATGTGTCCTAAACGTAGTAGCAAATTATCATCCGTATATTGATAAATTATAGAAAAAAGAAAACAAAAATCTATTTACGGACTTATTTTAAATACGGAACCATCGGTGAGTACCTATCACATCAACAACAACTCTCACATGACTGGTTCAAATGTTGTAATGGATGTGAGCAAATGTTAGGCAGATGAAATGTATTAAATTAACCAGAAAATACAATTTATAACGTGTTCTGCATAAAAAAACAAAACAAATAAAGGCATATCCCCTTTATTCATAAAACGTCAAACCACTCAAATCCATTATAGCTGTTGAACTGTTTTTTCTCTTTCTTTTATAGCTCAAATTCTATATTTGAATGATTATATATGATAATGATAAATAAGTTTGTAGGTTTTAGTTTTTATAAATAAGGCCGATCTTCTATAAATATATATACGTATAAAATTACAGACGAATACTTATGAAATTTTTGTAGTACTTAATTTCATGGAAAAAATCCACCGATCGAACGATATCGCAAGTACAGTTAGTTATTAATAAGAAACATTAATAACATCATCTATACTGAGTCAAGATTCTTTTATAAATTAAGATAAGCTAAGTAATCCATCCAAATATTTACCTGTTGTTTTCGTCAGACAAATACAAAACACGAATCTTAATAAACTACGGTCTCCCGCGGAGCAATATTGGCTAATATCGCCCATGAGTTTGTAAATTATATTAAACTAGATAAAAGCAACATTACTTTTGGAATTCATATCAAGCCAGAGTTTTTCTGACAGGTGATATATCATCGCAAAGAACAAAAAATATTTTCTGGAAATCGAACTTTACTTCCTTCAAATTCGATTAAAATGTAGCTCTAAATTATGAAAACTGTCGTGGAATATTCCTTTAATGATAAATGAAAGTCTGATCACAATTTCATTATACGAGATGCTAGTGGTTTATTAAAAAGTCTATAGCTTTATAAAAGTGCTGATACTTGCTTGACTTTTATAATGTTATAAACATTTATATAATTATTAAAACTATAAGATGAAAATAAAGTAATTAAGCGACGATCATGTAACCAACATGAAATCTTTATGCTTTTTTTAAATATGATATTTTTATTATTATTTGTGAGTATGCTACGAATAATTTTCTATAAAGTTGTTGTTTATAAATTGTGCCGGAGAATATAAATAAATTATGAATAAGTGGTATTTTCCATTGTATATAATTTTTTAGATATATTAATTAACCGGATAAAAAGAAATAGCCTATGACCTTTCCCAAATATCCCAAATAGTATGTATGCCAATTTCATGATTTAACTTTTAAAAAGAAGAGCTAAGAGGTAACATAACAACCAAACAAACAAGGTCACGTACTTATTGTACTTATACAATTGTATCGTTATGATCTGTCTTGATTATTTCCTATATTGTATAATGCAAATAAAATATACTAATTCAATCATTCACATTTATGATATTAGTAATAATATAGAAAAAATCTTATAAATAGACTATAATTTATCTATGCTTACGTGATGGAGAAAATACAGGAATAAAATAACTAATATATTAAAGCACTGTATATATCTTACACAGTATAATATTACATATTGTTCAACATACATACATACAACACAATACAACATACATATTTTATTGGGGAAGTCAAACGTTTTCCATGGGATAATGATAAAACAATATCGCCGATACGGATCAATCCTTTCTACACAACTGTATACGACCCTGCGACCCATTTCCTATATATTAGCTTAGCTAAGTCTCATAATAAAATGGTGACAAATATTAAAGCATAAATCAAAGTATCGAATCGTATATATCTAATATTATTAAAACTCTACGAAAATTCCAACATAGATTATATACATAATAGTAGGCGGTGACATCGTTACCATGACATCAGACCCGCTTCGTCCGCGATCCTCTGCCAAGAGGTTAACATCCTACACTGTCGGACTGTCCATGCCTAACCAATGAGCTCAGTTTTGATGCCATCAATATCAAAAGCCTGTTTTACACGCTGTCTGTCTCGGAGACCGCTACAAACTAATATTTGGACTAAGCACCAACATGAATGAAATCGATGCCAAACAATTATTTATCCAAATACAACAAATGCAGATTAGATTAACGGACATACAGTTTACATTTGAATCATTTTACCTATTAAAATTTTTAATTATAAAGACATATAATCAAACGCAAGGATTATTTTTTGTTTTATTTGTTTGCAATCTTGTACTTATTTGAATTTTATAAAATTAATGTTTCTTTTCTATGAAATAAAAATTAAATCTTATATATTGATAAATGTATCATTTTAGAACGGCTAGAATGATTCGCCTTTTTTCATAATAACTCATCCATTATAGTAATTACGAAAAAAATTGGAGGAGATAGTATCTGTGGAATCATGTAGTAAGTAATAAATAAACAAACAGATAAACCCACAGAAAGAGCCTATCTGTCATTTTTATCTGGGATATAATCATAAAACCAAACTAACTGCAAACTCGTTAGAATAATTAGTACATGTTTTGTATGCTAGCAGATACATACCTACTTACATACAGTACCGTGATAGTTTCATAGTAACTTAAACTCGTATTTGGGATAGGAATGTGCAAACATTTGCCTACTTGAAGTTGCTAATATTATAAACTTACAGCGAACTATCATTACGTATAATGAAATATATGCGTCCATTATATATTCGAACCATTGTATACATATAATAATCATACATAAATGATGAGACCTTTTAAATATAACTAACTATATATACTTTTTCTCTATATATATCTTATCTACATAAATTGCTCGTAAAATATTTCTCGATTTTAGTTGAATGACACGTACATGATCCAACTAAATCGTGTTATTATTGAGCAATAGATGAACTATCTATCTTTAATTAATCAGTAATAAACATCGATAAAATATATAGATATAAAATTTCTTTAACTTTATTTTACAAAGACTTTGCTTACTACCAAACTAATTCTATAACTTTAACGTTATTTTATTAGAAAAGAGAATAATAAATTGTTTAAAAATGTATATATTAAATGCCTATGACCATCCTTTAAAATATATTTATCAATACTTATGCAACTCGTGCTTAACATAAAACTATTAGGTAATATAAGGTTTAATGTTAAACATCGATGAATATTAATCGCTCTGTCACTGTATTATGATGCGGTCGGGAGAAAGCGAATTCCAAATCTTTTTGTTTCGTGTAAATATTCGTTAATCGATTACAAAACAGAAACTATTAAACTTTCTTGCATTGAATCCAATGATTATCTAATCCAAATCGTCTAATTAAGGGAACAATGCGGTGACTGATTGACGTCGCTAGTCTTGAGACCAATTGCTTTCACTTTGGAAATGACGATCTTGTGCTCGATAATATTTACGTTATGAAGGTGTGGGAAATGTCAATGTTATGGGATGGTCTTGCGACAAAATTAGTGATGTTATGATCTGATAAATAAACAGAATGTTCAAAGGTCGAATAAATGAGAGTGATGTGAATAAACAAGTGGTGATTTCATTGTACGCTCGCACTACTTTGTAAACTGTTCATTGTATCGGGGAACTTAAAAGTGTAGGTATTGCACACTATAAGACATTGTCTATTATAAATATAACGACATAAATTAAGATTAAAACACATTATTTAGTAATGTACCCAATAATTTTAAATGTACGTAGAATACACTTATTTAAATTACCCGAAATGCTATTTATTTGTACTATATATACATTGATCAACAAATAAACTTTATAATTTTGATTTTAGGCATATGGGACATATACAATGCATAACATTGTAATTATTTCAATTTGTATAATATGTCAAAAAAGTTAAACACCTATATTTTTAATATTAAAATGGATTATAAAATAGATCTGAAAAACATTGATGGCATAGAACAACTATTCTTAATTTAATATAGTTTATAATATTGTTAATAGTATTATTAAAATATTAAATGAAAAAAAAATGAAAACTACTACTGTTTTCAAAATATAGGTATTGTCTCAATTGTACACCCAGTAGCGCACAATGTACTTAGGCGGGCGGGAAAATATTATAAGGAAGTTCAACGAGCGCCGCGTCCGCCGAGCCGGGCGTCGGGCACGCACCGGGCGGTGCGGGGTACAAAAGGGACGGTCGGGATCGCACACAACCTCGCTCGGTCGCCCCTAATCTCATTAGGCACCAACACGCGCGCACCTTGCTGACCTTATCTGACAAGGGTACCTGCATAATTGTGTCTTATGTGCCCAACCTCGTTTACATCTTTTCTCACAACACAGACCTCACAATAAACATAGGTAAAAATTTTCACTTACCCTGAATTTTCGATAAAAATAAACCGAACGTCTTTCACGTCTGTTTGATCAAAGTCAGCAAAACACTGTCGGCGGTATTATGAACGTACGACACTACAACATAGTCCTTCATTTGCGGAATTCGAATGTAGAGAGGCGCGACTGCAACTGTGGTTATGCGTTATCACGACGCACACGGCACGGGCGCAACGCGAGCGAGCGTCGCGACGTCGGCGGCGCAGAGCGGGTTGTGCGCGCGCGCTGGCAGTGGGGCCGACCGGTCGCAACCAGGCCGCGCTCTCACCGCGCCGCTGCTTGCGGCTGCCCTGCCACTACGTTGCTTGATAACCGCACTTGACACCGTACAGTGTTCGATCAACAAGAAAGTTTCACGTTTCTATGTCATCGATGCTAGAAAAATCATTTGCTACCAAAGATCTACTTATCGAAGCACTTGCTTCACAACGCAGCAGCTCGACTAATGACAAGAGTACAAAGCAAGAGCCTTCAACAGTATGAAGCCGACTCGACGATCCTAATTGAATTAGGCAATTCTGTAGCATTGTTCACCTACTTTAGAGAACTCTTTTTTTATAAGCGTAGTATACTTACATTTCTAAAATTATTACCTATTATAGTTTAAAAGAAATAAATCACCTAAACCCTTTCAAATACTTAATAATAAATCTAAAACAAATTGAGGGACAGTGAAAGTATTAAAGCATCAATCTTAACCTAAACGATAAACACAGACGTTTGCTATCGCCTTAGTAATCGACACCCACCAAAACATTCAACAACCTCAGTCGTTTGGGTGAAATCTTGTTGTTGTTCCGGACAGCTTAGAAAAAAATACAAGTAAAATTAAAGATACATTAAAAATATATAAAATAATGACGACTTTATTTTCAATATAAAAGAAGAAAAACAATTAAGAAAAACCTCTATTTCATTTAAGAGTTTTCTCTTGTCGATGTAACTAATTCATGCATCTTCTTCCAGCCAGCTCTATCTTAGGTCATATCCTTGACCTCTCTATGCGACATGACACCTAGTGTTTTTTTTATCTGTCCCATATAGTTATTAAGAAAAACCTAGACGACCCTAAATAATTTTAACATCTTTTTTTTTAATCTCAGAATTCTATGCAAGTTAACATTTATCTAAGTGTTTTTAATGGGTGATAATAGAATGGTAACCTCGCCTGCGCTATCGGTATACGCTGGCGGGGCATCAGTGAGGGATGATAGATAAGCATGAAAGTAGGTCAGTTAGCCCATCGTGACGAATTCCATTAGAATTAACCACGATGGTTTCCAGCGGGAACCTCGTGGAGGTCGACCTGACAGGGTGTATTATTAGCAATGGACAGTTAGATCCCCATACTGACAATCCCTTTCCCCCCTTAACATTTATCTAATTATATTTTCGATGCCCTAGATTTATTGAATGATGATGAAAATAATAATAATACAATAAAACAAGATGGTTTTGTTGTATTAAGAGATCTTGATAACATTAAAACCCATCATAGCGATACGAAACAATTAGCCGAAAGTTGGTTATAATTTAATAAGTTTTTTATAACGGGACAACATCATCGTAACGATGAGTTTCATTTCATGATCAATAGTAGATCTCTTTGGCAGCTTACTTTTTTATTAATGTAATTACCTCTTTGGCCATAAATAGTAAATGCCTTGCACGCTCTCGCCTAAGATCTAGCTATATCCCGCAACTTCGCTTGTTGAGTCTTTATATAAAATTTCCTTTGTGTTCGAATATGATCTATCTATCTGTGTACTAAATTTCATTCAAATCCATTAAGTAATTTTTGAGTGAAAGTGTAACAAATATCCATACATCCTCACAAACATTTATATTTATAATAATAGTAGTATTTCTTTGGAGTTGTTATCTTGTCCTCCAATTCAGATTGAAATATGTCTGACGTAGGTGTTATTGTTATATTCTTCACAAGAACTACTTACTTGCAACCAACCAACCAAGTAAATAACATATTTTGGTTTATAATCATGACAATGACATAATAAAGTTCTTGTGTTTATACCGAAGTATAAAAACATTTAGGTTTAGGTGTAAAAGTTGATACAGAATTATGTATCAACTTTTACACCTAAACTCTAATTAATTAGGTCTACCACTAAAATTTATGCACTGAGGTACTTCATGTTTTACTTCTGAAGTGTTTTTTTTATACAACTTAGAATGGCAAACAAGCTGTCGGCCCACCTGATGGAAAGTGGTAACCGACGCCTACAGACATGAGCAGTATCATGGACATAACAGAGTATACTGTTTCGCCCATGATACCTCCCATGCGTTGCCATTCCTGAGGACTCAGATGTTATTCCTCTATTGGGTATAGAGGAATTCACGCTATATCCCACCCTTCAAACAGAAACACAGCCATGCAAACACAACCAAACAAATCAACTGTTCAAATCAAAATTCCAATGTTTGGTGAAAAGTGAACAAGAATTTTATTTCAAGATTGACATTTTAATACTACATATAATAATACTTTTTTTTAATTCAACTACAAAGTAACCTTGTCTAAACATGGCAAATAGTCGGCATTTTTCTTATTTTAGGTCAATGAAAATTACTACTACGCTATTGCCGTCCATAGTTGGCAAACGAGAGACTTACCCAATTACACGTAGTATGTCTTGAATAAGCTTTAAATTAAAAACTGGTACTCAGTAAAAAAAAAATGCAAGCTATTACACAAGAAATAACAAAGTGATCTCTAATACTTTAAATTATCCTTATTTAATATTGTAAATTAGTGTGAAAGCGATTTTGTTTGTTTCTTTCTTCATTTGTACATTTTGATATCTTAACGACTTTACTACTTATGATGAAATTTACTGAGTTGGCAACGCGCGTGTCAGATATTGTTCAAAATTAACCTTTTTATATATTGACAATTGTAGTTTTTTTATAAAAAAGAATATTTAAAAACAATTGAAATAGAACAAAATACATTATACTTCATGTCAATAGACGGTAATTTTATTTACAATATAATATAATAAATAATATAATTAAATACTAAGAACCAGCACATTTTACAAACAGATATTGATTTTAAATTATATTAATTTTCTTAAACATCTTGTGTCAAAATGTGTACCTACATTTATTAATAAAAATCAAACTAACTGCTTTAAATAAACTAATATATTAAAATTGTTATTATACCAAATTTTGTAATAAATTATTCCTGTAATATAAAACACTAATTTATATTTGAATTGATTTTATAATTGTTTATTATCATGATACTTGTAAGAACACGTGGTCTCACTGACTTGTTTACTCGAATTCGGCCCTGTAGATATAAAAGATTGTTATTTGGGTGGGGAGACACTTCTTATCCAACCGTTGAACAGTGCGGAGCTCCCTGCCGTATCAAGAGTAAAGAAGTATAGTTAACCACATGGTCATTATATAAAATATATCACAATTATTGTTGATGGAAGTCCTAAAGAAGATATATAGTTAAATAAGTGTCAATGGATTAACAGAAGTTGGGTATATATGTTATATTATATGTTATATTATTTGTTATATATCAAACACAAAATAAAATAAGTAAATATATGATTTAATAGTATGATATCTAAATAAAATTAACTGTAAGTACTTGTGCTTTATCTCTATTTATCACTAAGATACTTACAACCTATATATTGCTAAAGAATATGTTATGTATCATCTACATATAAAGTTACAATTACGTAATTAAATTATTATATAAATCTATTATCCTACAGTTTTTCTTTATTTGAGACGCGCGTAATGCTAGTGGCATTTTAATCATTTAGAGACTTCAATAACCGCTTACTATCAGGTGGGCCGTATACTTTTTTACTACCTCAGTAGTATAAAAAAACGCATGAAAGCGATTACAGGCTTACTTTTTATCCTAGTCACGTGGACAAAGTTACGAGCACAATTGTTTTTAATTATTATTATATAGTTATTAGTTATCTCGCAAAACACCTTTTTATTCAGTTGTTATTCTTATTATTTAGTTTAGTAGGAGAAAAACTTTTATCTTTTTTCTTGGGCTTTTTACTAATTGCAGTCAAAACTACTACATGCATATCATCATTTGATATTTGCAAATGAATGCGAAAATTTTTTCAATATCATATTACATTAAACCATTTTACATTTTTCTGTAAAATTTTATTAAAAACAAACTTAAACTGCAGTATATCGTTTATAATAATTTTGTATCGATCAGTTGGATGAAAACATAGACTAAGACATGTGACACAGCTAAAGGCTTGATTTTGCCATTTTGCTACAGAATCGTAAAAAAAACACATTACACTTACATTGAATGTTTCAGTAATATGAAACAGATTCATTATTAAATTAGCAATAACGTCAAGGTTCCTAAGCATTCTATTAGTAAATCAGCGCTCAGTCTATTCACTCTCTACGGATATTAAGTCAGGAACGCTAGAAGAATACGTAGATCTGGTTAATTAATAATTTATCTAGATAATAATTCATAATACAGCAAAAGCGTTTATAAAATCTGTGATCTCTGATGGGTCGTAAAGAGCGGTACTCGCTTAAACAAGCTTTTCCCCAAGCGAAAAAAATTAATTCGTGTACCGTAACTAATTGGATAAAATACGATAAATGTTATTTGAAAGATTTAATACCTTACGATGTTTTCACATGTAGGTGTCTCTCTGTCTGTTTGTCTAATATCACATAAAGCTGTTTAAAAACTATGTAAGTATTCATGTAATATATAGTGTCTAATAATTATCTATTCATAGTACAAGCTCTACTTAGATTAAAATAAGGTGGCGCCGTGATTATATAATTTATTTGTTATTATTTATACTTATTATATAATATACCGAAACAAATGATGATAAATAAAAAGCTTATACTCATAATAAAAAAAATATTCTGAAACTCTTTTACTTATTGGATTAATAATTTACAATGGGTGTATAGACACTACAGAACTTTCCATACCATCGAATTGACAAACTTTCAGTACCTAATGTAAACTACTGAGAAATGTTTATTGCGAATGGAAAGTTTCAAATCAAAATTGACATACCTACCGTCGAACGAGTCAATATGGTAGACAGATCAACAATCTAAATCAGTCACGATTATTGTTAAAAACGAT